GTTTTTGTAAGAAAAATATCCATATTCAAACCGTAATAATCACTTTAATCTAGCTTGCGCTCACTGTTGTACACTGAAGTAGTTCCGGGGGCGGGCGGATGACGTATGAGTTCAGCTTTGCACATGAGCCGCTCAGAAGTGATGAACGCGTAAGCGCAGCGAAGAGATCAAAACAAAACAACGGTCACTAATTAGAAGTACAAAACGAGGATTTGTAAAGAAGAATGTCGGAGGATTTCGATATAAGCCAAGAGGAGACTGGTTTTCCTTTGCTAAAGTAAGGAAACTTTGCTTCCTTTGCTCCTGTAAACAAACGTTGGTTTTCACGAGACTCACTGGCGCATGCGCAACGCTGACCTCATACGTCATGCTCCCGGAGCTGCTTCTGTGTACAACTGTTGGCGCAAGCTAGATTAAAGTGATTATTAAGTTTTGAATATGGATATTTTTCTTACAAAAACACATTGATTAGCTACAGGAGGCCTTTGTTCACCCCCCGGAGCCGTGAGAGACACTTTTTTTTTTTTAATGGATGGGCGCTTTTTATTTCACTTCTTTTGGACTGAAGCACTGCAACACCCGCTGAGTGGCATTAAACAGCTTGAAAGATCAAAGACAATTTTTAATATAACTCTGACTGGATTCGTCTGAAAGTCATATACACCTAGGATGACTTGAGGGTGTGTAATTTATGCCCTAATTTTAATTTTTGGGTGAACTAACCCTTTAAGCCCTCTTTGGATTCTCCTGGAAGAGTTATATCGAGTTCAAGTCTCTCTCAAGGCCTCAGTTTGGTAAAATCAACTAAAATTAAGCATCTGTTGGGTTTATATGCTACTGTTAAAAAAATATGAGGATCAGAAAGTGTTTTTTTATAATGAAAGAAGTATCTTAAAAAACAGTAATTGTTATTACAATTTAAAATTACTCTTTTCTATTTTAATGTATATTAAAATGTAATTTATTTATGGGCGCTTTTTATTTCACTTCTTTTGGACTGAAGCACTGCAACACCCGCTGAGTGGCATTAAACAGCTTGAAAGATCAAAGACAATTTTTAATATAACTCTGACTGGATTCGTCTGAAAGTCATATACACCTAGGATGACTTGAGGGTGTGTAATTTATGCCCTAATTTTAATTTTTGGGTGAACTAACCCTTTAAGCCCTCTTTGGATTCTCCTGGAAGAGTTATATCGAGTTCAAGTCTCTCTCAAGGCCTCAGTTTGGTAAAATCAACTAAAATTAAGCATCTGTTGGGTTTATATGCTACTGTTAAAAAAATATGGGGATCAGAAAGTGTTTTTTTATAATGAAAGAAGTATCTTAAAAAACAGTAATTGTTATTACAATTTAAAATTACTCTTTTCTATTTTAATGTATATTAAAATGTAATTTATTTATGTAATGCAAAGCTGAATTTTCAGCATCATTACTCCAGTCTTCAGTGTCTAATATGTTGATTTGCTGCTTAAGAAACATTTATTATTATTTTTCAATCTTGAAAACAGTTGTGCTGCTTCATATTTTTGTGGAAACTGTAATACATTTTTTCTTTGATGAATAGAAATGTTAAAATAACTTTTTTTCTGTGTGAAATATAAATATTTTAGTAACATTATAAATGTCTTTACTGTCACTTTTGATTAATTTAATGTGTCCTTGCTGAATAGAAGTATTAATTTATTTCAAAAAAGACTAAACAAATCTGACCCCAGCTTTTTGAAAGGTAGCATTTGCTCAGCCAGAAACACAGAAACATCACCCTATTATTCGTTCGTCTTATAATGTGCAAAATTGAAGCAAAATTGATTCTGTGACTGTCAGATACTTGCTGAACACTGACCCTATGTCTTTACTGAGGCACTGAAGGAATATTTCACCCAGAAATTAAAATACTGTAATCGCTTCTCACCCTGTTGTTGTTTCAGATTTGTATGATTTCATTTTCTCCTGTAAAACTGAAAAATAGATCTGTTGTCTTCTGTTGCCAACAAAAGTGGAACATGATTTATACTTTAAAGCTCCTAAAATGACAGAACTGCCATAAAAGTAGCTCATATGAGTTTTCTGTTCATGTAGTATTGCAATTTTGCGTTGTAGTATTAATCACCATCCACTTTCTTTGTAAGAACAGAAGCTCAGACATTCAGTAAAGCATCACCATCATTTTGTATTTCACAAAAGACCAAAAATTGCACATCATTTTCATCTCTGGGTGAGCTATTCCTTTACAAAAGGTAGACATTACTGATACAATAAAGTTTCCTGACAAAGTTCAGTCCATCTTCCAGGAGAGGCCAATAACAGCTTGGACAGAAAAGCTTTCCTACATCTATACCCTCAACTTTCATTATTTGAGATGAATTACTCTCCATAACAAAACCAAACAGAAACCAAATCCCGAAGTCCAGTGGTTATTACAGGTCCTCCAGATGTGGTGGCATGTGAACGAGTGTGGGTTTGTGATCTGGGCTCGGTGTGTTTTATGCGATCGGGTGGCCGTCGTGAGGTTTTGGGTGTTTAACAGGGGTTTGTGGTGCTGTGTGGAGTGATAACCTCATGTTTGCGATCACGCCAGGACAAACACGGTGAGTATAAAGCGTCTTTGGTGCAAAGTGTGGGGCAGTAAAGGACACCAGCCTGTCATCCGAAGCGCAGGTCAGATCATTTCAGTTGAGGATCACACTAATCTCGTCCTTCGTATGAGAAAACATGTTTCACAAAGCCGCTAGAGTCTGAGGTCTCCTCTTTAAATGAGCTGAACCGATTGCAATTACTGGCATACACGGAGCCATCAGCGTTCCTTGCACTCAGTGCAGTGATGTATCTGAGCATCCGTTTCTGAATGTGGCTGTTGTGTGTGTATAAACAGTACAGCAGATTGGTTTTATCATTACTGCCCAGACACTTTGTGTCACAATGGTGTTTGAAATGGGAGTTGTGTGTGTAAGTCGGAGGAAAATGCCTTGCTTCTGATCAGAGTCGACCACCAAAGAATTTGACACACTTATATATATATATATATATATATATATATATATATGTGTGTATGTATGTTATATATATATTGTTAATGATCTACTCTGACTAGCCAGGAATACACACTGTTTGTAGTGACAGACACATGTGCTTTATCCACACACACGAATGCGTACATGTTTACAGAAATGCACACCTGCACCTGTGTCTGCCCACCTGTGCACCAGTATGAAATCTCGCTGGTCTCTTTTCATTTTCCACCCTTCTTTCTCTCCTTTCTCCTCTTATTTCTCTCCTTCCCAAAGGTTACATCGAGGCAGCTGTCATTCCGGTGGGAGCTCGGCGAATCAAAGTTGTGGAAGACAAACCGTCCCATAGCTTTCTGGGTAATTACTCAACCTGTTGCTATAACAACCATCTTCCAAATGGCCACACAATGTCTCTGAGTGAGACTGGAGCAGCTCTGTAATGGCTGTAGATAGGAATCACGCCAGGTGTCTTCTCTAATGCTGCGCTATGACAAATGACGCTTCTCTGCTGACAAGCTGCTTGTCAAATTAGGATGAAACTCACACTAAGGACATATGACACACATTTGCTTTATACAGCTCAATACTAATTTTGTAATTTTTTTTTTTTTTGGTCAAATAAATATTCACTTTTGTGAGTGAATGTCACAGAAACATGTCTGATCATTTTTCACCCCAAAATCAGAAAACAGGAAATATATCATACATTATGATACATTTAATAAATAAATGAAGCCATATTTATCAAACGTTATAAATATAAATTATTTATTTAAATTCTTGCATTATTTCAGGACAATTAAGTATATCTATCCCCCAAATTGAAAGTACTAAATAATAATAATAATAATTATTATTATGTAAAATAATGCAAAATAATGTTAATTGCTAACAAGCTTAGTTTTCTTTAAACAAAATTGTATTTTACTTTAATGACATTTAAGCACATTTATCCCCCGAATTTTTATTCATATGTCCATATATGTTTTTTTTTTTGCAATTCTCATTGTTGTAAAAATAAATTGTTTTAATAAAATACTTTTTATAGCATTAATTAAAATGCATAAATTCTAAATACTTTATAATAATATATTGAATAATAATAATAATATAAAGGAAATTAATGTAAATTCATGTATAATAATAATAATGCACATTAAAAAAAAGTTACTTAAACATTGTGTAGGAAATGTGCTTAAATGTCATGAAATTGATGTAATAACTAAAAATTATAAGGATACATTTTTTAACACAAAATTTGTAACTTCTAATTTCATTCTTTTTATTTTGGGGTGAAATATGCCAGACATGGTCTTGACTTCCATGAGATTCTCTCTTGTATTTAGCGAATCCCACTTGAGAGAATATTATAAATAATGAGAAACTTATTTAAGACTTCATTTGTTCGGCTGCCCCACAATTGATGAGCATATTCATTGTAATTTAATTTGTTTTAATGAGTCAGAGGTTTTTGAAAAGGCGCCTTCAACTTTCAGAATGAATGCGTCTCGCTGTCCAACTTCACAGACATAATGCTGACAGATCATAATAACACTTCGCTCTACATATTCTTAAATAAACATCCCTTCTCCCAAAGGTCAGTATCACATGACTGCCTGGGTTGAAGTTATTAAAGTGTCAGATATTATAGAATGAGCTATATAAGATTGTGAAGTTTACAGGCTTTCTAATGAATGCATTTTATTCTATAATGCCTTTCATTTAACACTGAACTTGCAGGATGCAATCTGTGCTTCATATGCAGGGCGATGTAAACATATGTTTAGCTTGGGCCTGCTTTGCCATCTTTTGTAAGAGAACAGAAGAATATTTTTTAATTCCAGCCAAAACGCTTTAATTGACATGAAAGTGCACCCCTCCCATTGAGCTCAGCGCAGATGCTCTCCAAAACAAACCGCTTCATGTTTTCATTGCAGCAGACTGTGGGCAATCACATCTTCAGCCTCCACTGCTCAGAAACCATCATGGAGTCGTATATATGTGTGTATAAAAATAGGATGACTGTGAGCTAATGATGGATGAATGATATGCAATAGCTCATTCAACACAAGAAGTTCAAATACTTAATGGTAAGAATGTGTTGAAGTTTCATTTTAAAAGGAAAAGATTGCACTGAATTCTGGACTGTGTGAAGGCAGAGAGATATTAATAAAAAAAATCCCACCATTAGCAGTCATAAGGTGTACAATCAAATTGATGCTAAAAATCTTTTTGCAACAAACAAATAAATATATAAATAAATAAAAAAAGAAAATTGTTTTACAAGAAAATTAAATGCATTACTTGATTATTTGCAAAATTTACAGGAGGTTTCGATCTGTTTACTATTTTTTATGAAAAACTGAAAATATATTTTAAACAAAAAATGAATATTAAATTAATTTCAACCAAATTTAAAGTTAAGAAGCTTAAGTTCAGCTGAATATTTTATTGTGCATCCTGTATTAAAATCAAATTGAAATGTAATGTATGTGACTCTGTACCAGGGTTATTATAGTATAAGTATATAACAAAGTATTGAGATGAAATTTTGTTATTGACCAAATACTTGTTTTCCACCATAATTTGCAAATAAATTCTTTAAAAATCCTACAATGTGATTTTCTGGATTTTTTTTTCTCCTTTTTTCTCTCATAGTTGAGGTATACCTATGATGAAAATTACAGGCCTCTCTCATCTTTTTAAGTGGGAGAACTTGCACAATTGGTGGCTGACTAAATACTTTTTTGCCCCACTGTATATGTATATGTATCATTAACTTATTTATTTCAGCTAGATGGCAAGGAAACATTTCTCATTTTCCTTTAGTTTATCTTGATGTACTAAAATAAAAGAAACTGAAACAAAAATAATTAAATGAACTGATTAACACTATAAAAACAGACTAATAAAAATGACAAAAACACACAACATTACTAAAAATTAAAATGGAAGCAGAAAATATAAAAATAAAAACTAATTCAAGAAATAAATAGGAAATATAATAGGGTCTCAATGATACTAATGAATGTTTTTCAATTGAATTTGCAATATAAGCTTCATAAAGTATGCATGAATATGACACTATACACAATATGATTTGCATGCATTTTACGAAAATCTCCTTTTGAAGTTAGCTACTGAATCAGGTCTGCTAGATCAAAATCAAGGAAGTTTGCATTGGAATAATCTCAAATAAATTTGTTATATTTGATAACTGAATCATAAAGTTTTGCTGTAATGATGCTTGTACACTGTAAAAAAAAAAATATTTTACCGTAAAAATTTATGGTAAAAAACCGGCAGCTGTGGTTGCCGGAATTTTACCATAAAAAATACGGTAGCAACGTTTTAGGTTTTACTGTTTTAACTTAAATTTACAGTTAAATACCGTATTTTCATTAACTGATATAATGTTAATATACCAACCTATTGAAGTACTGAAATCTGTTTTGCACCTTTGTAATACACTGATAACCACCCAATGCAGGTGGTGATGAGAAAGTCACATGATGAACCAAAGCCCATCACAAGCAGCTTTTATATAATAACATACATAGAAGGTGCACAGTGTCATTCACACAGACACTAAACACCATCACTGTAACACACATGAAACTGATATAATGCAATTAACATTAATTTAACAACATTAGGTGTAACACACAACCCTAATAAACAAAACTGATAAGAAAAAACTAAGAAGAAACATAGTTATTTCAACAAAAAAACATAAAATTTGAAATGTAACGTAGGGAATTCTGGGAATGTCAATTTACGGTTATTCACTGTAAATTATACGGTCTTTTTCACTTCCAAAAATGGTATACTACCGTAAAATTAATGTCCAATACATGTAATGTCCAATACAGTTTTTCACCGTATATAGTAGGGGAATTTACCGTTAACCATTTAAAAGGTTTTTACTGTAGCATTTTTACAGTCTTTTACCATTAAATTCACTGTCATTTTTTACAGTGTATAATATGAATTAGATAAATGTGTTCTTGTTTGACTGGTGCAGCTCTGAAGGACTCCAGCAAGCGATCCATAAACAATGACTGGAAAATCGAGCTGCCAGGGGAGTTTGAGCTTGCTGGCACCACGGTCCGCTACGTGAGGAGAGGACTGTGGGAAAAAATGTCTGCCAAGGGACCCACTAAGACTCCACTCCACCTCATGGTAAGTTCTTTATGTACTAACATGCACCTTTTTCTTTCTTAGATCTTTACTGTCTTTCACACATTTCTTATTGAACTGTGCTTTTACACTTAATTCAGTGTAAAAAGCCATCTGCTGCAAATTTTATTTCCGTAATCAGATAATCAATGGGAAATACTGTAGGACAGGACATGGTTTTATCAGGGAAATTATTGAATCATGAACACTCAATGAAAATTCTGTTCATGTTTATTTGTATAGCACTTTTCGTGATACAAATCGTTGCAAAGCAGCTTCACAGAAAATTAAAGTTTCTACAATATACAGTATTTAGTAGTAGCTTATCAGTAGTGACTGTGTAAAGCCGTTTCACACTGAGCGAGATGCGAAAAAGCGAGGCGAATCGCAGACGAATGTTGCTTTCACACCGAGCGCGAAACGATTGATCACCTTCTGCTAATTCACACCTGCACGCTAGGTGGCGCCGACCAACAGTGCATTTTTCCTCAGATATGTGTCTCGTATATGGATTTAACATCATCCGCTGCTCAATATACAGCATTAAAATAAGATAAATAAAGATTGGTTCTATGCCAGAAACACAAACTATCTATAATGCTTACAAGAAAACATCTTAAAGGGGTCATCGGATGCGAAATGCACTTTTACATGTTGTTTGAACATAAATGTGTGTTGGCAGTGTGTGTACACAACCACCCTATAATGATAAAATCCACCCAGTGTTTTTTTTTTTAATCCACTAAAATCATAAACCCTTTCTCGAATCAAGCCGTTCTCAGCTTCTTGTCTGTGTGACGTCCAAGCGGCAACCTTCCGGTCTCTTGTGAAACCAACACGGAAGTGACTAAAACTGCAATTCATCGACTGGCCGCTAGAGGCTGGCTCCAAAAGGGAGTCAGACCCATAGACTCCCCATGTTAAAATGCCCAACTTTACAGCAGAAAAAAATGTTTACAGCCTGGTACAAAAAGTGTCACACAGACCCAGGCCCCTCCCACGATTGTTGATTGACAGTACACTCTTAAAAATAAAGGTGCTTCAGAAGGTTCTTCACAGCGATGCCATAGAAGAACCATTTTTGGTTCCACAAAGAACCATTCAGTCAAAGGTTCTTTAAAGAACCATCTCTTTCTTACCTTTTTGTTATCTGACGATCCTTTTTTCACCACAAAGAACCTGTTGTGAAACAGAAAGGTTCTTCAGATGTTAAAGGTTCTTTATGGAACCATTTAGACAAAAAGGTTCTTCTATGGCATCGTGAAGCACCTTTATTTTTAAGAGTGTAGCGTTGTAGTAGCAGTAGCTGAGTGAGCTGTCATTAGTCCGCCATTGTTTTGACGCCGGAGCAGATGTAGACAAGAATGACTCCTAAGCGATTGAGGTGTTCTGTTGTTGGATGTAATAATGAACATAGCAGTCGTCATTTACTCCCGACATCTGAGCCGCTGAAGACGCAGTGGATTACGTTTGTTTTTGAAGGGAATGCGCCCCCGATCTTCTCATTCGAGAATTTTTTGGGTCATTATAAGCTCTGTGTGGAAAGCTGCATGATGCTTCTTTGGAAAAAAAATAACAGCATATGGGTTTGGAACAACATGAGAGTGAGTAAATAATTTCATTTTTGGGCAAATTGTCACTTTAAGTAAGTAAATGGCGATTTTGATTTCATGCTGACTGTAACTGTCATGTTCTCCTGGTTACTAGTTGATTTAGAGTATAATTATGGCATATTTTGTCTTCATCATGAACAACTTCAGGACTAACAAAACATGCTATTTTATATTCGGAAAACATGGCAGTCTGCTAATCCAAAGCAAACACATAAACTGAATGGAAAACAGATCATGCAAAATGTTTTGAAAGCAGTAACGCAGCTGTTTTGGGACGGAGCCGCTGCTGAACCTGATGTCTTCACCTTCATGCATGTCTAGTGCTGCTTTTCCACCCGTGTGTCGACACGGACATCGACTGCAATGATTTCATCATGATGTCATGTGGCGTTAGGGCCCGTTCACAACGCAAAAATAGCTCGATGCTGCACGTCTCGAAACACACGTCAACAAAAGTTGAAGTACGCCTACAGTTTCTACTGATTTCTCCAAGCCAAGATCCATGCTTTCAAAACAATCAATGCAATACAATTGTTTGGCTTTTAATTTACTAAAACTGTTCACTGCATAATTACTTTTGCTTTCTTATGAGCTAACACTTTATACACTTTAAAAGGAACTTTAAAGGGAAGTCGTGGCCTAATGGTTAGAGAGTCGGACTCATAACCCAAAGGTTGTGGGTTCGAGTCTCGTACCGGCAGGGATTGTAGGTGGGGGGAGTGAATGTACAGCACTCTCTCCCACCTTCAATACCATGACTGAGGTGCCCTTGAGCAAGGCACCGAACCCCCAACTGCTCCCCGGGCGCCGCAGCATAAATGGCTGCCCACTGCTCCGGGTGTGTGTTCACGGTTTGTGTGTGTTCCCTGCTGTGTGTGTGCACTTTGGATGGGTAAATGCAGAGCACTAATTCTGAGTATGGGTCACCATACTTGGCCACATGTCACTTCACTTTATTTACACTGCAAAATAAAATGCAGTCTATCTCAGTATTTTTGTTGTTTTACAAATATCTAAACTTTCTTAAATCAAGATATGCTACTTTACTTGAGAAGCAAAATGACATTAATGACAAGATATTAAGTCTTGTTTTCTGAAAAATTTATTAAAATGAAGTGAGTGGATGTTTAATTTGTATTACATTAATCCTTTCATGTCTAATTTAGTGTGTTCCTTGCCATTTCTTTGTAATTATTTGTGAAATTTGCTTTAAAGTAAATCTTACTTTTTTTTCAGTGCAATTGTTTTGACTGTTTCACTTTAATTCATTTGTATTTATTTCACTTTTAGTAATTTTAGTAGTTATTTAATTTCAGGCAACATTTCTAATGTTCTTTTTTATTTAAGTTTTAGTTTTACAGTTCTGGAGTCAGAAAGATCTTGTTTTCCCTTTGAATGTATTTTTATTTGATTTATTTTATTATTTCACTTTATTTAATTTTTTTATTTTTTCAGAAAAATTGATTTAATATCTTAAGTCTTTTTGCTGCTCATGTAAATGTATCTTGATTTAAGAATGGTTCGATATTTGTACTGGAAAACAAGACAAAAATACAGAGGATGAAGATCATTTTTTTGCAGTTTAGCTCATTTTTTTGCAGTTTGGCTATTGGCATTTTCGCCAAAATGAATGAATATAATCTCATCTGAACAATAACCATTTTGTACACATTTACATTCACATTTGTGCATTTAGCAGATGCTTTTTTTCTCAACTTGCGTTGTATTCAGGGTATGCATTTTATCAGTTCATGCATTCTTGGGAATAAACCCCATGCTGTTGGTGCCATGCTGTTCTCTCTTAACTTTAACTTGTTTCGATGGCCACCTCTCTTGCTCTCTCCTCCTACATCCCCTTTTATATCTCTTCCTACTTCCTACATTTTCCTCCTGTTTCCTCTCCTCCTCCTCCATCCACTCCACTTCTTCCTCTTGCTCTTCTGCTCTTTCTCCAGGGTCCTCATTATTTCTTTGCTCTGAGTCACAGGTTGCCCCTTCCATAAATAGACAAGTCAAGATAGTTGTGCAAACAGTTTAGTATACATTTCCTGCGGTGTGCTTCTAAACTGAAGGTGTCGATATGATGGACCATTTGACTGTGCGGCTTTACTTCAGTCGTCTGTTGATGTTTTGAGCCTTACATTTTACTATTATTTATACTATTATAGTATTTTTTGAATATATTTTGAATTAGCTTTTTTGTATTTTCAGCTTTCATTTTAATTTTAGTTCGTTTTTAGTAATTGTGTGTTTATTACAGTGTAAAAGTGATTATTAGTGATTAAAAAAGATTATTGGAGAGCATTTTACAAGAAAATACTTTTGTTTTGTTATTTTTCTGGAAAATGTCACGTTTAATCCAATGTGTTCCTTGCCATTTCTTTGTAATTGTTTGTGGGTTTGTGTGTGTTCACTGCTGTGTGTGTGCACTTTGGATGGGTAAATGCAGAGCACTAATTCTGAGTATGGGTCACCATACTTGGCCACATGTCACTTCACTTTATTTACACTGCAAAATAAAATGCAGTCTATCTCAGTATTTTTGTTGTTTTACAAATATCTAAACTTTCTTAAATCAAGATATGCTACTTTACTTGAGAAGCAAAATGACATTAATGACAAGATATTAAGTCTTGTTTTCTGAAAAATTTATTAAAATGAAGTGAGTGGATGTTTAATTTGTATTACATTAATCCTTTCATGTCTAATTTAGTGTGTTCCTTGCCATTTCTTTGTAATTATTTGTGAAATTTGCTTTAAAGTAAATCTTACTTTTTTTTTCAGTGCAATTGTTTTGACTGTTTCACTTTAATTCATTTGTATTTATTTCACTTTTAGTAATTTTAGTAGTTATTTAATTTCAGGCAACATTTCTAATGTTCTTTTTTATTTAAGTTTTAGTTTTACAGTTCTGGAGTCAGAAAGATCTTGTTTTCCCTTTGAATGTATTTTTATTTGATTTATTTTATTATTTCACTTTATTTAATTTTTTTATTTTTTCAGAAAAATTGATTTAATATCTTAAGTCTTTTTGCTGCTCATGTAAATGTATCTTGATTTAAGAATGGTTCGATATTTGTACTGGAAAACAAGACAAAAATACAGAGGATGAAGATCATTTTTTTGCAGTTTAGCTCATTTTTTTGCAGTTTGGCTATTGGCATTTTCGCCAAAATGAATGAATATAATCTCATCTGAACAATAACCATTTTGTACACATTTACATTCACATTTGTGCATTTAGCAGATGCTTTTTTTCTCAACTTGCGTTGTATTCAGGGTATGCATTTTATCAGTTCATGCATTCTTGGGAATAAACCCCATGCTGTTGGTGCCATGCTGTTCTCTCTTAACTTTAACTTGTTTCGATGGCCACCTCTCTTGCTCTCTCCTCCTACATCCCCTTTTATATCTCTTCCTACTTCCTACATTTTCCTCCCGTTTCCTCTCCTCCTCCTCCATCCACTCCACTTCTTCCTCTTGCTCTTCTGCTCTTTCTCCAGGGTCCTCATTATTTCTTTGCTCTGAGTCACAGGTTGCCCCTTCCATAAATAGACAAGTCAAGATAGTTGTGCAAACAGTTTAGTATACATTTCCTGCGGTGTGCTTCTAAACTGAAGGTGTCGATATGATGGACCATTTGACTGTGCGGCTTTACTTCAGTCGTCTGTTGATGTTTTGAGCCTTACATTTTACTATTATTTATACTATTATAGTATTTTTTGAATATATTTTGAATTAGCTTTTTTGTATTTTCAGCTTTCATTTTAATTTTAGTTCGTTTTTAGTAATTGTGTGTTTATTACAGTGTAAAAGTGATTATTAGTGATTAAAAAAGATTATTGGAGAGCATTTTACAAGAAAATACTTTTGTTTTGTTATTTTTCTGGAAAATGTCACGTTTAATCCAATGTGTTCCTTGCCATTTCTTTGTAATTGTTTGTGAAATGTACTAGCAATTTCTTTTAGTACTTTTTTTTTTTTGCTTTAATTTATTTTTTTTGCTAATTTTGCTTTAATTTATTTGTATTTATTTAACTTTTAGTAATTTTAGTACTTAACTTTTCATTTCTAATTTTAATTTTTTTCTTTCTTTTTTTCTGTCTAATTTTTATATTTTATTTCATTTTTCAGCTTTATTTTAATTAAAGAAAATGTTTCAGTTTTAGTTAACTAAAACACTGGAATGGAGAAATGTCCCAAGTAAAAAAATATAAATGTATGTCACATAAAGTATAGTTCAAATTTGTTAACATATTTACTGACATATCACTCGAGACTTACTGATGAAAATTTTAATTAAACTTTATTTGGAGTACTGCTTGCACATTTTTTAATATTAAGCCTAAAATGTTTTTTAATGTCACTACCGATGAGGATTGCATGATCTTTAAATAATATCGTTTTTTAAATGCAAGGTATTTAAAGTGTACCTGAAGTATACTTGCAGTAGTTCCACTTTAGCACAATCAAATATACAGTACTTCAGTGTATCTTTAGTTGCACTTCAGCGCTACTTCTTCACAATTAAAGTGCATTAAGTACAAAATTAGTTGTTCCAATTTAGCAGACTTTAAGTATACCAGTTTAGTATACCAAAAAAAGTACAATCGCAGGGTATTAATATGTAATATTTGTAATAAACTTAGCATGAAATAAACGTATTTCAAATCAATTTTAGTATATTTATATTTCACTATAGGGGTGTGTAGTAAAAAAAATGAGCAGTTAATTAAGTTAAGCAATAACCAAAGACATCCATCTAATGCATAATCTGATAAGATTAAATATTTAGAAAATAATGCAGAAACGCAATTTACTGCTCACTATGGAAAGAAAGCCAGTTCTCTAATCCTCTAATCCAGGCGCGTTGTTTCAGTTAATATCTCCTCAAAGCTCTTTATGATGAAGAGAATAGACCTGTAATCTCCACTCCCCCGCAGTCACCGAAAGTTTAAAGCAAAAAGGTTTGTTTAGTCCAGAGAGCCAGAGGGTGTCTTGAGAGAGATCTCTAATGAATGTAATTAAGCAGTGAAGCGGGCTTTAGATGAAGCTTTCCTCTCAGATGTCCTCTGGCACAGAGATGCTCCACTTCAAACAGTCAGAGTGTTCTCAGACCCATTTAGAATATTTAAGATACATTTCTAATATGTCTCTGGTCGTCTTTAGGCCAGAAATTGAGTGTTTTTCTGACCTTGAATAACTAAATAGATGCAAAATACTCCAAATTAGGTGAGAAAAATAGCCAGATAAACCATATGGGCATTTGGGCATGTGCCAATCTTGCCCTGAGTGTGAATATTCACTTGTGATGTTTCAGTGGCATGTGGTGCATACGTAATTGAAGGAATAGTTCACCTAAAAATGAAAATCTGCTGAAAATGTACTCACCCTCAGGACATCCAAGATGTAGAAGGGTTTGTTTGTTTGTTCATCAGAACAGATTTGGAGAAATGTAGCATTACATCACTTGCTCACCAATGGATCCTCTGCAGTGAATGGGTGCCGTCAGAATGAGAGTCCAAACAGCTGATAAAAACATCACAATCCACACCACTCCAGTCCATCAATTAACATCTTTGTGAGGCAAAAAGCTGCGTGTTTGTAATAACTTTAACCTGTTGCTTCTGACTAAAATGCGAGTCTTTTATTTATAATATTGCCTTCTCCAGTGAAAAAAGTTGTCTCATCTGAATCAGGAGAGAAATATGCACAGATCAAGCACCTATTACGAAAATGGTCCGAAACAGTTCTAAAACAATATGTGGGTGGATTTTGATGTGAGAGAAAACAGGAGATTCACTTTTTCATTGGAGGAAGCGTTATTATGGATTATGGACTAAAAACTTAGTTTTATTTATTTATTATTATTTGTTTTTTTGCATAAAGAAAAAAGCCCTTTTTGACCATTCTTAGGGCCATTGAGTGTTTTTTGTACATTATTTTCATAACAATGCAAGTAATGTATATTTTCTCAGTCTTATTGCTTAAATGTGAAATACAATTTTAAATTATTTATTATTTAAATAATGCTCTGTACAACATGGGAGTAGTTTTTACAGTGAATTTGTTATATGCTGATTTAAATGACAAAAGATTATACTAATACAGTTTTATTTGAAGACATTCTAATAGGAACCATCATTAAAAAAAACTCAAAATGTCAGCACACATTGCTATTAGAACTTGGTAGAAAATGTGTTTAATTATAATTAAATAATGTCTCAATGCAAAAAAGTTAATGGCCCTAAAATAGTCTTAATTTTTGATAATTTTACTAGTGATTTTAGAGTGAAAAGTAAGTCGGACATGTTTTCATGAGATTCACTCACTGTATATTTTGTTCATCTGCTGTTGGTGGGCTTGTTGAGTATTTTGAATGTGTGGTTGTGTTCTCTTGTGTATAGTTTCATTCATGTCATTAGCCACTGGCTGACAGTAAGACGGCTCTTGAGGCTCTTTGAGGGGTCTGAGGGGCTGTTAACCTCCACCGTCTGTGAGGAATGGCTCTCACGAGATGGATCTTGTGATAAAGGGTGTGCTGGAGGCTGGAGTCTCATCCTGTCCCTGGAAATGATTATGGGAATGAATGGAAGTGATCCGTTTTTCCTCATGGTGTTTTGGTAGCCTCTTGAAATCAGACCTTGTGCCTGTTCACAGGCCTCTGGAGATACACTGTATGGCCAAACATATGTAGACACCTCCTAATGCTTGTAATTAACAGCAATCGGTGTTCCTCAAGGTGTGTAGTGGGGTTCAGCTCTGAGCTTTGTTCAGGCCAGTGAAGTTCTCTGCCAGACTCATAATATGTCCATTTAGCTTTGAGCACAGGAAAAATTCTGAAATAAAATCAAAATTAAATCTAAAATGAACTTTTTAGTATAATATTATTCATTAGACCACATTATTTTAAGGGGAAAAAATTGTTTTTGTAACTTTGGAAATGTAATCACTTGCATCTGAAGCAACTTTTTGGGGGCTGACTTTCAAAATCAAAATTTTAGGGACATGAAGACTTTTTAATGTCTTAAAGGAATACTTCACCCAAAAATGGTGAACTATTGGTTCACTAAAAATGGTGGACTTTTTAATGACTTTCTAATGTCTTTTAATGACAGTCTCTTCTGCTCACTAATGCTGCTTATTTAATCATAAATACAGTGAAATTTTAAAATAGTATTACAAATTAAAATAACTGTTTTCTATATGATTATGATTATATTAAAATGTAATTTATTCCTATGATGCAAAGCTGAATTTCTGCATCATTACACTAGTCTTCAGTGTCACATGATGCTTCAGAAATCATTCTAAGATGCTGATTTGCTGCTCAAGAAACATTTCTGATTATCAATGTAGAAAACACTTGTGCCGATTCATATTTTTGTGAAAACTGTGATACATTTTTTGATACAGGATTTTTTTTTATTAATAGAAAGTTGAAAAGAACAACATTTTGTAACATTATAAATGTCTTCACTGCCACTTTGGCCACTTTGCTGAATTAAAGAATTATCTTGGGCAAAATACAGAACACGTAAGCTAATAAACGGAGGCTAGTGTTCCTGAATGCTCTTCATATCACGTTTATCCAATTTTCCTCTCAGGTTCTGCTGTTCCACGATCAGACGTATGGGATCCATTATGAGTACACGGTTGCCCTGAACCAGTCGCAGGAGAACGTCAGCGGTCCGGTGAAGGAACCAGAGCACATGTACCTGTGGACTCACAGCAGCTGGGAGGACTGCAGTGTGCACTGCGGAGGAGGTCAGTGCCGGTCATCACCCACAATGCCTTTGGGGTTTATTTTCTTAATACTAACTGCCATTACACTCACATGTACATTCTTAAAACATAAGGCATCAATGGTTCCCTGAAGAATCTTTCCATTCTGCAAAATGAGTAGTTTTGTACAGCTAAAAATAGCTGGAAGCGAATGAGACCGGAAGCCACACCCATAAAATTAACAAATGGCCACGACCATTTTTACAGGAAGAACAAGGTGGATAGAGTGCAAAACGGAAGTAAAAACTCCATTCATTTTCTCCATAGGGAAAGTGATCTTTAACAATAACTTGACAACAGAACTGTTGCGAGCTCCGAGGTTGATAATCATTTGTATATCCCTTTGTTGCAGCTATCGCTTTGTTAATTCAGCTAATTTTTAAAAATGATCTTTTTCAATAGCGGAATTGTTAGTAAAAAAAAAAAAAAAAACTACATTAACCATGATGCTGTACAGAAAATTCCACCAATCAGACAACAGAAGCACCAAATGAGCTCTTTAGCTCCCCCCACTCATATACTCATGTATTTATGCATATTTAACAATAAAATGTAAATATATTGTTTCTATAGATACAAGAAACAACTTTAAATGAAAAGTTTTACATTTTGCCATAGTTTTTTATTTATTTATTAAATTTGCAATACTTCATGAGATTGTAGTTCTTTCCCACACCAAAGTTATTAGGAACACAGTCTTCTACATTTTCTCCAATTTTTAATCAACATTTGGTATGTGATTCTCCATGTAGCTGGTTGGTTTGGTTAATGGCTTATAGCGATTTAAAAAAAATCTTTATGGGCAAAATGAATGGGAAAAATACTTCTGAAACCAGTGCTGCTGCAAAAGTGGATGGGCACTAATGCACTCTGTAGTGGAAAAAAGTTGATTTAGATTATTAAAATGTTCTTCACACTAAGAAAATGGTTCTTTTTTAGAACTGATCACTGAAATGTTCTTTGTGGAACCAAACACCGTTCTTCCATTGCATCGCTGCAAAAACTCCCTTTCGGAAACTTTATTTTTAAGAGTATATCAGAAGCTGATCAGGAAAGTTTCCAGTTCTCCTAAAGGTTTCATTAAATTCCCTTTCAGTCTTAACAGTTGAAGCTGTTAACGTGCGTCAGCTGTCCAGCTGTGTTTCTGTGACTGTTATGGTCAGCACAGCTGTGTGATTATATCTAGCAGGTTAAAGCCCCAAAAATAATAATTACTGCTACGAAAAGAGAATCTCTGACAAATGATATCAGCATTAACTGACTCGCAAAGGAATTAAACTTTCAAAATTAAATGCTGTCAGATAAAGTCGTCACATGTAGTGGAGGCATTATTCATTTGAGACCGAGATAATCATAAAATAACCCAAAAAGCGACATTGAGGCCTGTCCCATTTTCTAAGCCCGTCTGAGCATGACAGTTTTGCTGGTTATATTCACGAATCTGATAGCAGATGAACATTTATCTGCAACAGACCGGCATGCAGTCTTTCCACAAATAGCTCCCGTTTTAATGCTGATCTGCTTGTTTCTTTTTTGTGCTTATTGCTTCCTGATGGTGTGTCATTGTCTGCTAGAAGTGTTGCGTCAGCATGTGTATTTGCGCACAATAACACGAGTTAAATCTGTTTTTTAAAGCAATTGTTAAGTGCTTTTGCTTAAATAATGTGATACATTGGGTTTTTAAAAGGGCATTTCGTTCTCTGTGTCGAATAGAACAGCTTTATGTTTTCGACATGAGCTGCAAATCATGTTCTGACCTGAAAAAGCCGACGAGAGATTTGCAGTGTCTGTTTTTGGAAACTTCTAGACACATCTATGAAATAGCGGTTGTTTTGTGGTCAGCGTCGTTCCTTCGAGTCAGTTATGAACTGAAGAATATAATGATGTGTTTAATGACGCCAGCACATGTGTCATACGTTAATACAGCTGGGGTTGATGAAGCAGGGTCTGTCTCTAATACTCACCTCGAGCGCTCGCCTATAGAAACATAGACTGAGAGAATATTATTTGAGAAGGGATTAATAAGTGCATTCATTTGTTCAGTCGTGTTGTGTGCATTTGGGTAGTTTACAAATAGACATGGACCTAGAAACACACAGCGTCTCCCTGACATGGCTGCTTCAACACTAACTGCGGTTACTGAAACCACGCCTTCTTTCTTTGCGTGCACATTTTGGGCGGCATTATGCTAATATTTCCACATGGTGAGGTAGATATGTGGGGGCGTGTTAGAACGAGCCGTTTTAGGGGGGCGTGGCAGAGTCTTAACTTTGATCTTATCTATGCACAATCAGCTTGTAACACTCCAAAGAGAAAGAAAAACTTGAAATCGCAACCATTTGAGCATCAAGATTTAAAATGAAAGTTTATGGTTTTTTATTATTATAACAGGTCACAATTTTGTCAGATTGTTATTTTTATTCACCTATTTTGCCTTTACTAGAACAATTAAACAATTCTGTGATGTAAGAAATGAGTTGTTTAATATACAGATATTTTAAAATATAAAAATTTACAAATATGAATTAATATGCATGCACAATAATTGTAATATAACCCATAAAATGTTATTTAAAACTATTTAAAACACTAATACATTGAGAGGCCTGCATTCAAATATCTCTTTCCATTGAGTCAGTAAGATTAAATTTTTTAAAGAAATGAAAAGTTTCATTTAAGCAAGGATGCATTAAACTGATCAAAAGGTTACAAAATGTTTTTTATTCCAAATAAATGCTGTTCTTTCAAACTTTCTATTCATCAAAAAATCCTGAAAAAAATGTATCATGGTTTCCATAAAAGTATGAAGCAGTACAACTGTTTTCAGAATTGATAATAATCAGAAATGTTTCTTGAGCAGCAAATCAGCATATTAGTATGATTTCTGAAGGACCATGTGACACTGAAGACTGGAGTAATGATGCTGAAAATTCAGCTTTGCATCACGTGAATAAATTAAAACTATTTTAACTTTAATAATATTGCTCAATATTACTGTTTTACTGTATTTTTGATCAAATAAATGCAGCCTTGGTGAGCTTTAGAAACTAAAACCTGTTCAAAAACAAACAATCTTATACCAGACCGCCAGTATTTGAACAGTAGTTTATGTAAAGGACTGTCACACTGCAGATCTGAATAAGTGAATGTGGAAGTAGATTTACATAAACATAACAAGTTCAATGCCTAGTAAGAGGTTAAACTCTTTTCATAACTTATAACTATATTTGCTGTCGAGGTCCTGATTAGCAAAGTCTTGAAGGATCCCGAGAGATTGCTCATTTGCAAAGGGATTTTGTGAGTCGCTCCCCAGCACTTGCTACAGTAATTGGTGACCAAACAGTGTATACGTATATTTCTAGGCAATAACTAAATGAATAGCCAGTGATTTTTTTAAATGAGAAAACACTATTTCAACTGTATTTCTACCCACATTTAGGCGGAAAATCTAAACTCTAAATTCAGCAATGCGTGTGAAAGATTTCATGTGAGAGTGTTCAGTGAGCATTTCTTTCAGATAGGAGACGATAAGGATACTCTGCTGTTCTGGGGTAAGAGTGTGTTGCCCTGGAAACCATGGTTAAGGGGCTGTATATAGTAGTGAGATCATATGTGTCACACTCATTCAAACTAATGAGCCCCTTTCTGATTTTTGGAGGGAAAGTGGATTTTAAATGCAACTTCCGAAAAAATAACAGCTGATAAGTAAGTTGCTTAAATTTACATACAGAAATGTTTTGTCAAAACACTCCTCAGCAACACGCAAACATAAAACTTGAGTGTATGTTCTAAGTCAATGGTGCAATAAATGCATAGCACACATATATTATGTAAAATTAGTTCCTTTTTATTACATTTAACCATTTTATCAATATTTTTCAGTATTTAATGAAATATACATCACCATTCAAAAGTTTGGGTTGGTATGATTTTTCTTTTCTTCACAAGTCTCTTATGCTCACCAAGGATGCATTTATTATTTCTTTTAATAAAAAATACAGTAAAAATAGAAATATTGTGAAATATTATTACAACAGTTTTCTATTTCAATATATTTTAAAATGTAATTTATTGCTGTGATGCAAAGCTGAATTTGCAGCATCATTACTCCAGTCTTCAGTGTCACATGATCCTTCAGAAATCATTCTAATATGCTGATTTGCTGCTCAAGAAACATTTCTGATTATTATTATCAATGTTGAAAACAGTTGTGCTGCTTCATGTTTTTGTGCTTTCTGTGACCGTTTTTTCAGGATTCTTTGAATAGCATTTTTTGAAATAGAATCTTTTGTAACATTATCTTCACTGTCACTTTTGATAAATTTCAAAGGTATTCATTTGTTAAAAAAAATCTTACTGAACCAAAGATGTACCACAGTGATTCATTTTGTTGAATTTAGCTTATTGCATTCCTTTGTCCATAAATTATACTGTACATGACATGTGATGCTGCTTTACAGCAAAAAAAAAAAAGATATCTAAAAGGCAGCATGATTTTAGAACAAGCTTTGGATCTGGGACACAAATATGATGCCTAAAATGCTGACTAAGTAGGCAGCGCACTATGTTTTGGAGCAGAGCTTCTGGCTCTGTGTCTCTGAGGCTGCCCTTCACCGCTCGCTGCTCGCAGGAATTCATTTCTGTCTCTGACTGCTTGCGGTTTTTCTTGGCAAACGTAGAACAGCACAAAATTAATGACATAGCTAATCCTACAGTTTGGCGTGCCGCCACCTTCTGAAGCTACAACAACATTAAGAACTGAAGAAATTAAAGGTCCCGGGCAAATTCAGCACCTGTTATGTGGGTCACTGCTTCTCCCCGCTGCTAATTTGGTCATGCCCACTAAAGGACCCCCGACACTATAGATGACCACTAGAAATAACCGTATTGTTATCCCTAATTAGAAATGTTTTTTTCTGCAATTAACTGAAATGGGACATGGCTGGTTGTGAGGTGAAAGTGGAGCGGACCGCATCAGATCGTGTGCAAACGCTCACACGTGCCAGAGAAAACACAGATTGTCCTGTTGTGGTTAAACACCCCCACCAGTCACTGCAGCGCTTGCCAAAGCCCTCGACTCAATCCAAACTTTAACATCCTCAGTGGATTGTTAGTAAACTCAGACAGCTCAAAGCGGCCGTAAAGATGATGATGATTATTATTATTATATAACCATGTATTTACACATTCATTTTAATTATTATTGTTATTATATATAAAATTAATTATTTGAGTTATTTCTTCAAATAAGTAACACAAGTAACGCAATTAGTTACTTTTTTATGGTGTAACGCAACATTGTAAAGCATTACTTTTAAAAGTTACTTTCCCCAACATAGTAAATAATAAATAGATAATATTGCTGTAGCTCAAACAGTAGTATGGGTTGCGTTTTTAGGGAATGTATGAGCTCAATTTCAATATAAGTCACTTTGGATAAAATTAGCAGTTTACAGATGATGATGATGATTATATATATTAATAATAAATTGTTATTACATATTATTTTATTATCATTTTAACTGCTATTATTTGTTAAGCATTATTTATTAAATATTTTAAAGTATTTATGAAATTATTTTTAAAGGTAGTTTACAGTGAGCGTAATTAAGTATTATTTATTTTATTAGTATTTTTAAATGTTAAACATTATTTATTAAATTAAAAATTATTAATGCTAGTTTAAAAAAATACATAATTCATATTATTTCTTATTTATTAATCATTGGTGTTAAGTTGTGACAGATATCTTCTGTAGATGCATGAGATAGTTTACACTGAGAGTTCTTATTAAAAAGGTGATATTTTACTGTGATTACGGCATTACACATTTCCTCTCATATACGGTCTGTATGTTTACAAAACGTGCATAAAAAGAAGCATTCAAATTGATTTATGTAAGTATATGCAAGACACGTACTGTAACCTTGAGTGACATTTTATGAAAGTATAGTATGCCAATAAAAATGTTTTGCTGTGTTTTAGGGGAGAGAAGGACTGTGGTCTCGTGCATGAGAATCGTTAACAAGACCATGACTCAAGTCAACGACAGCTACTGTCAGGTGGAGAACAGACCCGCGCCTCAGATCCGCCGCTGCAACATCCACCCCTGCCAATACAGGTACCAGAAGCGCCAGAGCTTCTCAGAATGGACCAATTTACCTGTATCTGTGTGTGCTGTGTGTTTTTATGTCGTCAGCTGACACAAAACTCAATAGGGAGTCAAACCAGATGGATTTGGGATCAGAGTCTGGGACTCCTCTCTTTCTAGATTTAACAGATTCATGGTGGATATGGTTCCCAACAAATCCAGGACAAAAACTTCTAAACAAAATAGATAACCTGGTCTGTTGCGGTCATCTCTGTACAGGTGAAAGCCTCACCTGTGAAATATGGATGCATGATTTTTTACAGGTGAAAGCCTCACCTGTGAAATATGGATGCATGTTCTTCGTCAAGGATCATGCATCACAGAGATGCTCCTTCACAATTAACTACAGCATTTCAGACGATATATGTTTGTCCCGGGAACATGAGAATTATGATTATTTACACTCATTTAACCAAACCCAAGAATAGATGTTTGACTCTCTCTCTCTCTCTCTCTTTCTCTGCTCGGTTTATTAAAGTCTTCATATTTATTGTGTTTGCTTATTTTTTTTTTTACCAATAATTCACGTTGTTTTTATCAAGTTAGCTTGTAGTGGTTTCACAATTTAGGTGCAATATGTATAATTTGATTTATCCTGTGTGATAAAATCAGGTTGCTCTGATTCCCAAAATGGTTTCTTCATCTGTAGCTTTTCAAGATGCGGTATGTCTCACATTACATGCTTTAGAAGAGATAAGATATTGACATGAAGTTGTTAATTCAGAGCAGAAAAGGCTGGTTCACTTCAACAAGGGATGGATATTATGCTTACAGAATTATAACTTCATTTGCACATTTTTTCTTGCTCTAACAGTAAAGGGTTGTTCACACCATTAATGATAATTATAATGCTAGCTATGTTAAGGTCCATGCCAATAGAGAATAACATCATATTCATTCTAAGCTCGTTTTTCAGGTATGTTCCTCTGTGCTGGTTTTTATTTATTTTTATTTGGAAAGGAACCATGTGCAATTTTGAGCATAAATGTTTCTATTTAACGCATTGTCTAATTTTCATCCGCAGTCCCTTAGCAGGTCAAGTTGTTTAAAACTTTATGGCTAGGTGTAAATGGGCCTTAATGTGCTATTTAAATCATTTAAAAATACAAAAATAAGATTGTCAGCTGGCTTTTTAGATCTTTTAAAGAAAATTTGAAGGGTTGTTTGCTTGTGCAGAACTCACTACTGTGCATCTGGTTTGCAGGGTTGTTATTTTTAACTAACACTGAAATTATAAAAAAATAGTTAATATTAAATCAAATATTAATATAAGATGACTTAAACTCTACAAATTTTAAAAACGTAAGTGAATATTTGGAGTTTTGTATTGTCAACAATCAAATAAAAGTACTATATAAAAATAAAATAAAGTAATAAATTAAAATTACTAAAACATAAAAATGAAAAATAAAGATTTAAAAAGAATTTGGAGTTTTGCCTTGTCAACTAACAAAAACTGAAAATATCAAAATAAAAGATTATTCAAAACATCAATAAATACTAAATTAGTGTATAAATAACACTACTAGGTTGTTTCTAGGGTGTTCTGAATGTCTTACAGGGTGTTCTCTGTCTAATAAGCCCAATTCCAAGTGGATATTCTGATCTGTAGATAAGGCTCAAGTGCCTCCATAAATGTACTTCTCAGGGACTTTTTCACCCCTTTTTATTGTGTATGATGTAAGTCCGATCATTTGGAAAAGTAATTGCACACCTCTATTTCTGTCTATAACTGCAAAATTTATTTTGGTGCTTGTAAGAGTGGGATGTGAGTGTGGGACAGAAGAGCTTTCTGTAGGTTTCCACATGCTTCTCTGTCATCTTTCATTGTGTCGTTTAAGCAGTTAATAAAGATGTCTCTATTTTTATTCTGTTTCATCTGTTGAGATTTTCTGCACGTAAATCACAAGTGCATTTCATGACCGCTTATGTGGCAATAAAGATAATCATCTGCTATTTTCAGTCAGACTGTAAACTGACGATTAAAACATCCAGATTTTATGATGTTTCCTGACTTGTAACATATGATGTTGGCTGCGTTTTTCATTACATTACAGAAGGTTGCAAATGCTTGACTTTAAGGACTTGTTTCAGTGTACATGTTAATTTTCAGACTTCAGATCACTTTCACTACAGTTTAATGCATTGAATATTGACAAGGACTTTAAAGGGTTAGTTCACCCAAATATGAAAATTCCCCCAAGGAATCCTAGGTGTATATGACTTTCTTCTTTCAGTCGAATCCAATCAGAGTTATATTAACATTTTTCTTTGCTCTTCCAAGCATTAGAATGGGAGTAGGCAGGTGTTTTTGTTCAACAGTCCAAAAGTAGTCAAATAAAGCACATCGGTCCATATTAAAACGTGCCTCACCGGGCACGTTTTAATATGGATAGATGTTCCAAAATTACAGTCAGCAGAAGTGAGAGAAAAGTGTTTATAACGTTTTAAATATGGATATTTTTCTTACAAAAACGCATCGATTCACTACAGGAGGCCTTTATTCAACCCCCAGAGCCGTGTGAGGCAAGTTTTATGGATGGATGCGCTTTATTTGACTACTTTTGGACTGTTGAAAAAAACACCCTACTCCCATTCTAACGCTTGGAAGAGCAAGGATAATACTTAATATAACACCGATTGGATTCGTCTGAAAGAAGAAAGTCATATACAGGATGCTTTGAGGGTGAGTAAAATATGGGCTAATTTTCATTTTTGAAAATTACTAGCCCTTTAATAATGACAAAACTGTTGTATTAACGTCTTTTCTGTGTTTTCTGCTTCTCTCAGGTGGGTGACAGGCGATTGGACGCAGTGTTCAATAACCTGCGGGAAAGGCTTGCAGCAGAGGGAAGTTGGCTGCGTGTACCAGCTGCAAAATGGCACATACATCCCCACCAGAGACCTGTACTGTCTGAGCTCCAAACCAGCCAGCGTACAGCACTGCGAGGGACGCCACTGCCTCACCGTCTGGGAGGCCTCCGAATGGTCCAAGGTTTGAGCTCAAGTCAGCAGGAATTATTTAAAGATACCACATCATGGACAGCAGATTTTGCTCTTGCTGTTGTATGTACATTGTACAATAGTTTGATCTAATGTTTAAACATATTTTAAGCATTCTTGCTTAAAAACAGCATAATGTAGCACAGGATACTTGAATAGAAGACACTAAATGCACTCAAAATACTTCTCCAGAATTCATCTGATTGACCCAAAAACTTTTTTGACCAACTTTAACCTGACTATCTTTTAAAAAACGCACAGATTAATGAATGTAGGTGCTTTAATTTAAATTATAAGCTTTGCATTTTTGTTTGAACCCTCCAAATTGCAATTGCCTCACTGTAACTTACTCAATAGTACAGCCACGAGACTTAAACCACATGTGTTAACATGATTTCAGTGTGGAAAAATCTCTTACTAACCTTTTCTGTGTGAAGTTATGTATGCAACTTTATACGTATATAAAAAATTAGGATTTAAACAGCTAAATCCTAGCTTTTACAGCTTAAACATATATAAATATTTTATATATAAATCTAACATATTTTTCCTTAATATAGTCATGTGTGTGTGTGTATTTATATATACATAATAAATATACACAGTACGCACACAAATAATATGTAAACAAAAACTTATTTTGAATGCGATTAATGGCGATTAATCGTTTTGCTGCCCTACTGTCTAATGCATCTTTACAGAATAATGATAAAAAAATTACACAGATAGAGAAATGCAAGCGCATGTTCTGTGTGAATGGCCCCTAACATTAGCAAAATAAAGCTCCATTATATTTATGGAAAAATGCAAAAAGGGTTTGTTCACAATTTGTCACATTTAAGAGCCGGTCACACAGAAAACATGAAATGCAGAGCAGTGGAATAAAAAAGAGACTCGGTTTAAAAAAACTATTTTAAACTATTTTTGGCTTGAAATGTTTTGAAAGCCAATTTCAAAATTCATGTAATTCAAACAGGAGTGCATGGCGTTAACACTGCCAAGGTCATGACTTTTCCCAGGGAAAGCAAGAAATGTGTATCTTGAATGCATTGTAAGTCACTTTGGATAAGAGCATCTGCCAGTTGCATAAAAATGCAAATTTGTGCCATAAATGCTGTTCGAAATTCAGAATTCATCACAGTTAAAGGACGTTCACACAGAAAACGCAAGATGCAGGACAGTGGAAAGGGGAAAAAAGCAAGGTCTTAAAAGGGATTGTTTAAGAGCTGAACATGAGCATAGTGGTCAAAGACATCCATTTATCATCAGGTTTAAGTAGAAAAACAATGGAAAGCAGCAAAATACAGTAGAATGCAAAACCACATTCTGTGTAAATGGCCTCTTAAGATATGACATTTACATACAAACGCCCATCTGTTATAGTTTTAAAGGTACAGCAGCATAGGGTGAAAAATGTCAAAATATGTACTAAAATTACAGCATTTTCTGGTGCAGGAAGCCTTGATTAATATAATATGATGACTTGTCATAAAAAGTATATTCTATAAAGACAGTTGCTTTTGAGACGCATCCTGTACTGTTGGACATGTGAGGGTCTCTAAGAAAAGATATGTGCGCTTGTGTCTGTGGCATTTGTCCTGGCCTATGGAGGGCACTGTGGTTGTTTTTGAGCATCTGGGTCTAGTTTCAGATCTTGATGTTGATGTTGTAAGCACTTCATTAGAGTAGATTTAGTCAGCGGCGAAGTGAGACTCCACAGGAAGCCAGTTTTAATGACCAGCGCTCTTGCTTATATCTTTATTTATCTCCATCCTCCTTTGCACCCAATTGCTGACTTATTTTCCTGGTGTTATCCTCTGACATCTCGTTGTCTTTGTCTGTCCCAGTGTTCCTCTGAATGTGGTCGCGGCAGCAGGAAGAGGACAGTGACCTGCACCAATCCTCAGGGTCTCTGTGATCCCGTGTCTCGTCCAGCAGAGGTGGAGACATGTGAGGATCACTCCAAATGTTATGAGTGGAAGACCGGCGAATGGTCCAAGGTAGGATGACCAAATAGTCAGAAGTTGGCATATAAAAGTGAGTTTGGGCTCAGTAAGATTTAAAAAAAATAAATTCATACTTTTATGTAGCAAAGGGACATTAAATTGATCAAAAGTGACAGTAAAAAAACATTTAAAATGTATTTCAAATAAATGCTGTTCTTTTGACATTTCTGTTCATCAAAGAATCCTGAAAAAATGTATCATGGTTTCCACAAAAATATGAAGCAGCACAACTGTTTTCAACATCAATAATAATAATAATAATAATAAATGTTTGTTAAGCAGCAAATCAATATATTAGAAGGATTTCTGAAGGATCATGTGACACTGAAGACTGGAGTAATGAAGCTGAAAATTCAGCTTTGCATCACAGGAATAAATTACATTTTAAAATATAATCAAACAGAAAACAGTTATTTTAAATAGCAATATTATTTTAAAATAGTACTGTGTTTTTTCCCCTTGTTCATACTTTTCTTTAAAACGCAAGAAAAAAAATCTGTTACAATAAGACACTTGCAATGGATGTGGATAGGGCTGATTTGTAAAAAAAAAAATTTTATAGCTCAGCTACGTGACATAAAACAATATATGTTAACATGGTTTTAATAATAATAATAATAATTCATTACATTTATATAGCGCTTTTCTAGGCACTCAGAGCGCTTTACATTGTCAGGGGGTATCTCCTCATCCACCACCAGTGTGCAGCATCCACCTGGATCGGCAGCCATAGTGCGCCAGAACGCCCACCACACACCAGCTTACTGGTGGAGAGGAGACAGAGTGATGAAGCCAATCAGCAGATATGGGGATTGTTAGGGGCCATGATGATCAGAGGCCAATGGGCAAATTTGGCCAGGATTCCGAGGTCACACCTCTACACACCTTTTTTAGTATAAAAAAATCACTTAACCATTTCTGTGTGAAGCCAACCCCAAAACCTTTTTGTAAATATAAATATTTGCAAAATTATATGCTTCACTATTCTAATCCTCCACAAACTGGCCCCATTCACTTCCATTTAAAAGACCCTCATTATAACCTTAAGAACAGAAAACAGTTATTTTAAATAGCAATATTATTTTAAAATAGTACTGTGTTTTTTCCCCTTGTTCATACTTTTCTTTAAAACGCAAGAAAAAAAATCTGTTACAATAAGACACTTGCAATGGATGTGGATAGGGCTGATTTGTAAAAAAAAAAATTTTATAGCTCAGCTACGTGACATAAAACAATATATGTTAACATGGTTTTAATAATAATAATAATAATTCATTACATTTATATAGCGCTTTTCTAGGCACTCAGAGCGCTTTACATTGTCAGGGGGTATCTCCTCATCCACCACCAGTGTGCAGCATCCACCTGGATCGGCAGCCATAGTGCGCCAGAACGCCCACCACACACCAGCTTACTGGTGGAGAGGAGACAGAGTGATGAAGCCAATCAGCAGATATGGGGATTGTTAGGGGCCATGATGATCAGAGGCCAATGGGCAAATTTGGCCAGGATTCCGAGGTCACACCTCTACACACCTTTTTTAGTATAAAAAAATCACTTAACCATTTCTGTGTGAAGCCAACCCCAAAACCTTTTTGTAAATATAAATATTTGCAAAATTATATGCTTCACTATTCTAATCCTCCACAAACTGGCCCCATTCACTTCCATTTAAAAGACCCTCATTATAACCTTAAGTTATGAATTTTTTTTTTTTTAAAAGGAAGTGAATGGAAATTATTTTTGTAATCAACATTAAGCCACAAATGCTGTCGATTGAGCTTCGCTTGTCCAGAACCCATAATATTTCTTTGCACAGCATAGTTGTGAAACATCAGACTCTATCCTGAGTCAAATGAAAGCCGACAGGCGAGCATTAGGCCAGTGAGAGCACGCGTCCGCGGGTCTTCAGCTGAATCAGAGTTTGTTGCGCTGTCGCATGTGATGCATGTGGGCCCCCCCAGTGGAGCTGACTGCCGCGGCCCAGGGTCACATCATGCCTGTAAAGCACCATCTGTCTGTTCCTCTCGTTCTCCTGAGCTTTGTGTTTCTCAGTAATGAGCTCTCGCCACCTCAGTGCAGACACGCCATTACCATAGTGCTGTTTCTCATGGTTCAGAGTCTCAGGTGCACAGGCTGGAAGTCAACTTCTACAGTAGTTGTAGAATTATTTGGGAATATGGGTTTTTCATTAGTCGATGTTGATATCTCGAGTACAGGGTCATTGTTAGTCAATATTACATGACTTACGCTACAAAATGTAGTTCCTGACATGTATACTAATGTTAATATTTGGTCGCTATGGGTGCACAGGTCTGCTTTTTTTAAGCATTTCTATAACACTGTATTGGCCAAGCAGAATCCAGGACCAAATCTATGCATTTTATCAAAAAATATTGTAATCATATATGCAGTATTATAGCTTCAAGCAGCAAATACCAGGGTCAAGTGCTGAAATGGCAGCATGTGTTTTGCTTTTGTTTGACGTTTACAGGATTTGACCTGTTGGAGGCTCACTGACATGTACATTTTCAGTAACGGATTGGCAAGATACGACATAACGCCTACACCATCAGTTATCAAGCATTTATTTATGTTGCTTATTGGAGAATAGGAAGTGAAAATCTAAATCTCCATGGAAATTTCTGTGAGGCTTTGGGTGAATAAGAAATATTGAGAAATATCATTCATAATACAGCAGAGGTAATGCAGCAGAACTTGATATATAGAATATTATTAATTCTGCAATATTAATAAACGAGAAGCAAAATTTAGATCACAGAACGAAGCTGACACTTTATAAATGGTACATTTCTACAAATATTTTTGGCAAAGATGTCAACATTAAATCAAAATTGACCCTATTTAATTTCTTAATGCATACAGATCTTATTGTCTTTAATCAGTCTAAATAAGCTCTTTGCACTACAAATCATTATATCTGCACTGTTGTTACTTCACTGGTTTGCACTCTATCTGCCATGTGCCTTGTGCTGCTTTTATAAATATTTTTTTACATTTGACCTTATTTGTATAGTTGTATTTTATATTTAATCTGTATCGTTCTGTATTTATTTATGTTCTACTGTTAGTGTTATCTGTATGCACCAAGGGTCTGAGAGTAACGCAATTTCAATTCTCTGTGTGTATGTGCTGTACATGTGGAAGAATTGCCAAAAAAGCAGACTTGACTTGACTTGACTTATTGTGGATGAATCAGCTGTGCATTTATTTTTCATATATGCATTTCATACCTTGTAATCATAAAATAATAACTTGCTCTTCCTGTGATATGCTAATTTGATGTCTATGATGTTCACTACCATATGTTTGGGGACGGTGAGAGTTTTTGAAAGAAGTCTCTTCTGCTCACCAAGGCTGCATTTATTTGGTCAGAAATGCAGTAAAAGCAGTAATTTAGTAAAATATTAATACAATTTAAAATGGCTGTTTCCTATTTGAATATATTTTCAAATGTAATTTATTCCTGTGATGCAAAGCTGAATTTTCAGCATCATTCCTCCAGTCTTCAGTGTCACATGATCCTTCAGAAAACATTCTAATATGCTGATTTGCTGCTTAAGAAAGATTTCTGATTATTATCAATGCTGAAAACACTTGTGCTGCTTCATATTTTTGTGGAAACTGTTATATATTTTTAGGATTATTTAATGAATAGAAAGTTCAAAGGAAAAATATAAATATTTACTGCCTTTACTGTCACTTTTTATCAATTTAATGCATCTAATGGCATAAAAATATTAATTTCTTATAAAAAATCTTTACTGACCTCAGACTTTGAAATAGTAGTGTATGTGAGGCCGCACTGCAGCCAATCGCATTCAGTTGTTCTGCCTTTATATCCAGTTTGTAGTGCTCAATTTTCACAATCAAATCAACAACTGATGGATAAAATCAAGTCCTGCCATCATTTAGCCATTAAACTTGGAAATACGCCACAATAAGGTAGTAACGTCAGTTTCAACATCCGTTTTGTGTCAACTAAAGTTTCAGTTCTTTAGTTTTGCGGAGATACATGCTCAGTGTACATTTTTATAGCAGTATTTCATGCACCTTTATGGATGACCTTCAAGACTCCACAACTAATCGGAGCATCGATTAGTGGCATTGATCTTTGGTGAGGGTGTGATTGTCTGATCTCAACTTGCCTGATTAGTTTTGCATTAAATTTGTCTTTTGTGTTTTATCAAGGGCTAGAAAAATACGGTAACATCATTGCATGGCCTGTTGTGGTTTACTGCTGGATTTTACATGCGTCCGAGCTCTCGGTATTCACTATACGAGCCTCTGCGACATTTGTTTGTGAAGTAGGCTGTATCATTTCGGGGCCGAAATGAGAGGAGAATAGATTCTCCCATTAGTGAGATGCTGGTGCAGAAAGCGTCAGATATTTCTGCATGTGTCATGTATTTATGCAAAGAGCAGATGTTCCTTCTGTAGACCTGATTCTTTTCATTTCAGTGATCTGCAGAAAAGACGAGCTACTATCACATCAGGAGTGGGAAAGCATTCCTGCACAGGCATTTTTACTGTAGTAGTTCTGCAGTTTATTATTAATTCTATTGCCCATTGTCACCTACACCATTAAAGCTATAGCTAGAATTAAAAAGGCATAATTTGCTCACCCTCATGACATTACAATCCAGCATGAATTTCTCTTCTACAAAATACAAAACAACATTGGACTTTTTCATTGTGTACACTGTAAATTTATATATATATATATATTAGTGCTGTCAAACGATTAATTGCAATTAATCAAAAGGGTGCTTCTACTAAATACTGAGCAAAGGGTCTGAATATTTCAGTTTTTCTTTTTTAATAAATCTGCAAAAATGTCAACAATTCTGTGTTTTTCTGTCAATATGGGGTGCTGTGAGGAAATGAGGAAAAAAATTAACTTAAATGATTTTAGCAAATGGCTGCAATATAACAAAGAGTGAAAAATTTAAGGGGGTCTGAATACTCTCCGTACCCACTGTATATATATACACACACAAATATTTTGGAAATAAAACTAAGCTTATTGGAATGTTTTGCAAGAAAATACTTTTTGAGTCTTTTAAAAATGTAATGTTTAATTAAATTCATTTATTTGTAATCGTTGTGAAATGTACTATCAATTTCTGAGTGAAAATTGTTTCAAAGTAAATCCTGCACCAAATTTTTTACAGCGTGGACAACAAAAGCGTTGGAACATTTTGTGCTTTTTTTGCATTTCAGTATTATTTATATACTTTATTATTTGTTAATATTTTGAAATAATTTGAATATATTTACAGTTTTCATTTTAAGTTTGATTAAATTTTTTTAAATTGTATGTGCTTTTGTCATTTTTAGGTATTTAGCTATTTTTGATTTATTTAATTACATTTATTTCAGATTTAATTTTATTACCTCAACTCAAACTTTTTATTTGATTTACTTTTTTTGTTTTTTACAGTTTTAAATTCTTTCTAGTTTTAAGAAATAAAACTAGATTACGATTAACCATTTTTTAATTGTTTTATTTAGTGTTAGTTAACAACATTAATAACAGTAACAATGTTTTTCAAGTTAATCTATTTAAAGCTTTATTTTAGTTAGATTTTTAATAGTTTTAGTTAACAGCAACAACAGTCATAGAGGTTTGGAATGACATGAGAGTAAATAAACAATGACCTTTTTTGGCTAAAATATCCCATCAATACTAACCAACAGCCCACTTTATTTTGACCAAAATCCAAACAGCTATTTAGCCATTGTTCTAGGCTACTGTTGTGGTAATGTAGCATTTCTAAAATAGTTTCCACAGTAATTTTGAAATGCTGTGTTCTGTTAATGTTAAGAAGATCTCAGGAGTTTCTGTGTTGCTCTTCGTCTGTAAGGGTGCTCTCCTTTCACACAACAGACGTTAAAGAGCTTTGTCATATTTATTAGCTCAAATCAGCCATGGTCTTCTCTTGAGGGAGTCGTAGATTGTGATTCAGAGCCGCCTTTGATCAGCAGATGAGATGTTTTTGGGACGTCTCTTCTCATTCACAGCACATGTGGTGTCGTTGTGAAATCACTCCACTCACACTTTCCCTGACTGCAGTTATTTACTAGACTCTGGCGACAGGCAGCGCTGAGATCAATGCTAACCTGCCACACTGATTTCATTTTCAATAGCCCGTCGTCCCCTGTAAACGTGAAGTTCTGTGCGTCGCTGAAAGGAGTTCGGGTTCCTCGGAGGCAGGGAAGTGTATTGCTTTCATGCACTTTTTGCCACTTTGCAAAACAATTTTCGTTTGTTTAGTCTGCAGTCATGGCAGCCGACAGCTCTGTTTCTCCAACCCGGGGGTCTCCAACAGGGGGTCTGTGACAATTACTGTTTGATCTCAGAAGAAATAAAACTGTTCTAGAAAAGTGAACCAAATGGCAAATTACACTACTGCTCAAAAGTTTGGGCTCTGGAAGATGTGCAGGTTACACTTTACTAAGGTTCCATTTGTTAACATTAGTCAACTAAATTTAACAAGGAACATTTTGTTTATTATTCTTAGTGTTCATTTTAATACTTAATAATACATGATTCAAATCAAAAGTTGTATCAGTTCAAATTATTTAATGGTCGTGAGCTAATATGAATTAACAAATTAAAATTGAAAAATAAATATGAACTAACATCAACTAAAGAGACCTTATTGTAAAGTGTTACAGATTTGTATTTATAGAAATAAATTAACACTTTTAATTAAAATTGTTTTAAAGTAACAGTAAATACATTTATAATGTTACAAAAGAGTCTATTTCAAATAAATGGTGTTCTTTTGAACTTTCTATTTATCAAAGAATCCTGAAAAATAAATGTATCACGATTTTCACAGAAATATGGAGCAGCACAGCTGTTTTCAACATTGATGATAATAATAAGGAATGTTTCTTGAGCAGCAAATTTCTAAAGGATCATGTGACACTGATGACTGGAGTAATGATGCTGAAAATTCAGCTTTACATCACAGGAATAAATTACTTTTTAAACATATATTCAAATTGAAAATAGTTATTTGAAATTGGAATAATATTTCACAATTTTACTCTTTTTACTGTATTTTTGATCAAATAAATGCAGCCCTTGTGAGCAGAAGAGTCTTTCAAAAGCATTAAAAATCGCACCGACCTCAAACTTTTGAACACAAGTGAATATAATTATATAAATGCATTACTTTGAAACTATAAGCATGTTAAAACGCAACACTTAGTGTATAATATTGAATGTATTTGGTCCCCTGATCTAGACTGTATTGATGTCCTCTGTGTCATAATCAGGTCAACATGCTGTCTGCTCCCAGCTCTCCTCAGCCAGTGATGAAATAACTGAATTTGTTCCTGCCCTGTCGAACTATACGTCTATTAAAATGTATTAGATTGTCACAGAGATGCGCTGATTTAATTTCGCCGGAGTGTTATTGGAGAAATAAAGCTTCCTTTGGGTCTTAAGCGTGACGATGGCGGCTGATTGGCTGACATTATGACTCCTGCTCATCTCACAGGAAGCATAACGACACATCATTCGAGAACCATTTCCTCCTGTTGTCTTCCTCTGGAAATCTAATTCAGTCCGTTTGCCGTGATCAGATACACTCAGAATCTCGTATGTGTTTGTATGTGACATCTTTTGGCTGATTTGAATATGCTTTCATCAATTCATATTTTGTGCAGTCACAGTTTTATGTTTATTGGCTATTTCATAACTTTAGTTGTTGTCTTGTAATGTGCCCATTTCATTTATGATCTTTACTAAACAATGCATAATTTGGAGTTTATTGATAATGCGGAGGCCTGTGAAAATGTCTGAATCTTTATAAACTGTACAGTATGTGGTTTGTTTGAAAACAATGTAGTTCTAAACTCCTCGTGAGCAGAAATGTCAAGCGGAAGCCGAAGACGTTTGAGAGTTGAGCTCTTACAGATCACAATGTAAAGTGGGCCAGGCTTATGAATCGTTATTGTTTCTGAACAGAAAAGAGAAAACTGCGGCTTTGCCCGGAGACAGCGCTGCTCATTAGGGGACCGTGAAAGTTCACTGTCTGTAATACAAAGACTAGTGCTGGTTCAAAGACGGAGACTCAGCTGGCCCTTTGACTCTGTGTATAAAAATGCTTATTTATTTTCCTTCCTTTGATCATTGTTTCGTTATTGTTTAAATTTGTATGGTTGCATTTTTGCTGGTTTATTTAGCTGTTGCTGTTGTCATATTTAGTAACTTTTTTTGTAATGTTGAAAGTTTTTTTTAATTTTTTTTAATTTATTATTATTAGAATTCATTTTTTTCATTTATTCTAAAATTGTTTGTCATCAGTTGTTGAGATTTGTCCCATTGTACGCATAGGAAATGACCCACTTTTGTAATAATGTATGGAAGAAATCATTACACTCATTAATAGTACTGTTTTTACAGTTAAATTGACCAATTGCCTCTGTTTGCTATTTTATATTATATTCGTACATGTGCATTAGCTTGACCATCCTGAAAAATATGATTTTGTTGGCATGATTTGAGCTTAAGAATCAATGAATTGCGATAAAAATTGCAATTGCGATTAAAAAAAAAATCCAGTTTTGCTGTGCCTGTTTGTAGGGCTGCACTAATAATAATAATAATAATAATATTATCATCAAATAAAAAAAATACTAAACAACAAAATAAGAAATATTGCTTTTGTAACATTTCACCATAAAATAAACCCCCCAAAAATAAAATAATACTTTTATTTTAAATTTCAACTAAAATTACAATACAAATTGTTCAAAGGTTAAATCATCTCTTATTTTGAAAACAACTTCATAAAGCTTCTTATTTTGATAAGTGCTTCTCATTACAGGTTTGGGATGATGGTTGGATGTGAAAGTGACTCATACTCAGAGCAGGTGATAGATATGATGCCGCTGCTATCAGATTGTATTCCTGATTTGAAATCTATAATTTAAACATGACAGTTACAAAGTAGAGTAAGAGTAGAAAGAAGCTTTATTGAAATATTGAGTAGATGCTGTATTGTCTGTCAGAGCGGGTTATGATATGGAAAATGTTTTAATCTGTTGTGATCTCGTCATTGGTTCATTGCAGTGCTCATCATCCTGTGGGCGGGGCCTGCAGTCCAGAGTGGTCCAATGCATGCACAAAGTGACCGGTCGTCATGGTAGCGACTGCCCAGCAGTCCTGAAGCCCACCGCGTACAGGCAGTGTCATCTTGGGACGTGTAATGTGAAAGTCAATGTGAACACCATCACCTCCCCTAGACTGGGTAAGACTTCAGCAGTCTACTGTCCTATTGTCTGTACTTTTTATAATCCAATCAAATCCTGATGTACACAGTCATGTCAGTGAATGTTCAGTTTCAACCAGAAATATAACACAATCTATTTCCATTTCATTTTTTTGATGCACCTCTGAAGTTACGTCATATTACTGGATATTGCTTGAATTAGAGCTGAAGATGAGCTTTATGATATAACGATATATAGACTTCAAGATATTAGTGTTAAAAATATAATAACTAAAATAAAAATAATATACCTAAAACTAAAACCATAGAAAAAACTAAATAAATAAAATCAACATTAACTGAAAGAAAAAAAAAATAATAATAATAATCCTGTTTTATTTCAACTAGTTTAAGTTTAGTTGAAGTTGAAGGACTAAAATAACTAAAGCTAAATCAACTAAAAGTAAAAACTAAAATGTATTATAGGCACATAAAAAAACTATCTACTAAAAACTCATTCATGTCATGAAATCATTCATGTCATGAACTTCTCTTAATTATAAAGCTATATTATATAGATATATTGAAATTATGTCTCAATAATTTCATATAATTTATTTTGATTTCATTGAATTTCATATAATTTAAATCTATATTTGAAATGATATTGGCATTTAATTTCAGTGTAGATATATTGAACTCATATGTCCTAATTATAATTAAATAGGACATTTTTACTTTTATATAGTGTTAATGGCTGTGTTCCAAATTATAGTGTGCTGCCTATTTAGGCATAATATGCACCTCTGACGCAGGCAGAATTACAAAAGACAAATGTTTCCATCGGGGACAATAAAGTGCATTGAATTGAATAGATTCCTTATTTTATTTCAAATGAATTTAATCCTGCCTATGTCAAGTGATCCAAATTAGTCCGTTTCCATTTCAGTTTGGATGCTGTCTTAAATGTAGACAGTAGACGGCTCACTAGGTTTTAAAACAAAGCCTTTCATTGCTTTAAGCATTTGTACCGAATAAACATTATTTTATTGCCAAGACATCTGTTAAAGTAAGCATCATCTGGAAAGCATCACATTCGTATTGTGTACAAATAAAATGAGAATCATCTAAACAAGTGCAGATGATCATCTGCAGAATGTCTAGGATTTACTTTGAAGCCATTTTTACTCAGAAATCGCTAGAAAGTGTCACAAATAATTAGCAAGTAACATTTTCTTGTAATGTAATATTTTCTTGTAAAATGCACTCCAAAAATTAATAATAACCTTCGAAAAAGCATTTTTTTATAGTGTAACAGCAACATTGTACATATTTTGAGGTTGCAAAAATGGCATCTCCTAGATGAGCCTGCGTGTCTGGATTGATGTATGCATGTTGTCAGGGATGGTGTCATATAATTGAATCTATGAAATGCCGTGTCCTGTCATTCTGTCATTCCTGGCAGCTGCATTGACGTACAAGTGCACGGGGGATCAGTGGGCGGTTTACTGCAGGGTGATCCGAGAGAAGAACCTGTGCCAGGACATGCGCTGGTACCAACGCTGCTGCCAGACCTGCAGAGACTTTTACACCAACAAAATGCCCCCTAAGAGTTAATGACCCTGGCACTCCCACACACAGAGGTTTATTTTTGCCTTCTCCATTTGTACTGTCAAAAACAATGTTTTTTATTCTTATTAAAAATGTTCTTACATGAAAAAATGAAAGCAGTGGAACCGATATTTCCAGCAGAACACACTCTATGCAAGTACGTAAACGTAACCATTTCTATGCATAACTTTATCACCCCCCTGCACTGAGTATGTACTTGCAGTGTGTTTGCCAAGCGTTTGCGTACTTGCATTACATTTGTTTCTTGTTTACGGGCTTTAAGGTTTCTTGTTTTGTCATGTTTTGCTGGAATCCACACTTTGGCCCTGGAAGTGACTTCTTCAGCATACTGGCCTGCCTGTTGCACTGTGGGTAAAGCTCATTTCACCAAAAACTGCTTTCTTAAGGCCACTGGTTGGCCAATAACTGATGGACTTTGTAACAACAGCTTGTTTTTTTCCAGCTCCGTATCGACAATCTTTTGTTTTGTTTTTGATTTTATTATTATAATTAGCTGTCTTGTTATATTGGCTCTGTAATCAAAACCTAGTGAACTTCCTTGCTCCTTCAATCACAATTGATTTCAGTAGAGTTTAGAATTGACCTGTTTCTAAGCTAACAATGCAATACTCACACAAATATTGGACAGCATTGTAGTTTTTTTTATTAGACTGAACTATTTTTTGTTAATGCTTTTTGGTACTGAATGGATTTTATACAATATATAATCATCTTTTCTGTTTCATCCACCAATTCAGATGTTTTCTGAGCTTGTTGCAGTGCATTTATACTTATGCATTCGGCAGATTGCAGATCCATTCATAGTTTGAATTTTTACATCAGTTCATGCCTTCCCTGGGAATCGAACCCATGATCTGGCTGTTGCTAGCAGCAGGCTTGATTGCATAATCTGTTAATGCATAATCAAAGAATAAAACCTCCATAATGCTTAGCATAATCTGTCATTGCATGCGTGCATGGAATAATAACAATCTATTCTTGCATGCATGCAGGCAATAATAGATTATACAGTGCATTATGGTGGTTCTCATTCTCTGCATCTTCAGCAAAAGAAGTCATTGTAGAAGTTTGCATAATCATGCTGCCTACCTTTTTGAACAGCTCTCATACTGAGAGCCTTAAAATACTGCCTACATAGGCAGATCACTAGGTTTTGGAAAAGAGCTGAATTAGCTTGTGTTATTTAATTCATCAAGAGCCATCTCGATGCAGTCGAACAGCCAAGCTGATAATAGGTGACCCATTCGAATAGTTTTCTCTTTAAGGTTTATGTATTTTATATCAAACTGAGGCTAATTAGTGACTCTCTCAGAGAGGACACCGAATGTCTCACCTTGGTTTCTCACAGTGATTATATTATTTACCACACTGTGTTTTAGAAACTTGTTGTGTAGTTTCATATATTTTAACAGAGCAAGGTACATGATCTCCACTGCATCGTCAAAGGACTGCTGCCTTTAGTGCATCATTAGTTCACCCCAAAATGAAAAAATATCTCATTATTTACTCACCCTCATGTCATTCTGAACCAGTATGCTGATCTTTTCTTTTGAACACTAGAATTTTTCAATAATGTTGACTTTTGTACAGAGGTACCTCCTTAGAAATAAAGTGTGATATAAACTAATTTTAAGACACTTTTATGGTGCTTTTGGTCTTTTTTTGAGCCTGATATCCTTAACTAACTATGCTTTTCATATTATAGAAAAAAGTTGCATTAACATTCTTCAAATCTTCTCTTTTTTTATTCCTCAGAATAAAAAAAGTAATACAGGTTTTGAAGGACATGAGGATAAATATGTGCTTTTTTAATTTTGGATGCGCTGTTCCTTTAAGGTGCAGTGAAATCAGGTTACAGACTGTTTATGTGTCTAATGTCAGAATCATTTATTAGTCTGATGGTGCTGCAGTGCCATAACTAATGCACTCAAACACACTAAGAGCTACTCTTGAGTCTTGTATATCTGATTCATTTCTCATTGGTATGAGACAATAATGCCTTCCTTTAAATGTAGTTCTCACATTGTGCAATTTTATTTGACAGAATTTTAGCACAAACGTTACAATCCAAATCTCATATTTAAGATCTGAATACAGTTTATAGGAGTTTGCAAGGTACATTACAGTCAGAATGTGGTGAGAAAATGTGAAATTTTACGTTTGTATTTCATAAAAGCCCCCCTGGCCGAGGGTGACACTGCATATGTGTGCATGAGAGACTGTTTCAAAGCCTACTGAGCTAGGGAGCATCCTAACTGACATGAAACCTCACTAGTGACCAAACTGGCGTGCACTTCAAAGCCAACTGATTGAGTTTTATGCTACTTCAGTAAAGCGTGAAATGCATGGCGTACATATTGACCTTCACACGCCATCGATGCCTTTAAATGCTCACTAGGTTTTGGAACAGAGCGTATATGTGTGTGTGTTCGAGACCTTGGCTCTCATCTACCAGGTTGCACAAGGTCACAACAGGTGCTAGACAAATTTCACTACTGTGAAATTCAGCAGTTTCTCCACGTTTTGTTCTTGTACTTTTGTATGTATTTAAATGAAACGTGTTTTTTAATGTTTGTTGGGATTATTTAATACATATTGTATCTACCTGCTTCTGTCAGAACTATCTGGTGCAACAGCTTCATGTTCCAGGTACCGTGAATATCGCTTCTGTATTCCAGTACTGTATGTCAGTAGTTGCACACGTGATCAGTACTTAAATTGATACTTTTGATGGTGCTAATTTGAACATTTCAGACTGTTCGTACAAAAAAATATAATAATAATAAATTTTATATCCTGTATTATGAGGATTTTGTGTGTGCATCTATGTTAAATGAGCTTTTATGCTCATAATCAGTATTTTGAATTATACTAACATTTCTGTTTCAATTACACATTTAAAGGGGTCATATGATGTTGCTAAAAGGAACATTGTGTATTTGGTGTAATGCAATGTGTTTATGCGGTTTAAGGTTCAAAAACACATTTTCCACATACTGTACATTATTGTTTCTCCTCTATGCCCCGCCTTTCTGAAACGTGTCGATTTTTAGAAAGCTCATCGGTCTGAACAGCGAGGTGTCTGATTGGCCAGCTATCCAGTGCGTTGTGATTGGCCAAATTCCTCAAGCGTGTGACGGAAATGTTACGCCCCTTACCATACGGTGATGCCGTGTCCCAGCGTGATGAGACAACACCATTAAAACCCATTATAAACGAGGCATTTGTTGCATCCAGTTGGGACATAATTACTGATTATAATGACTTCTACTGTCTTTTTACGCATTGTGTATCGCGCTGCTGTAGCGAATCAGCTCAAAGGGGAAATATGAATAATTAATCATAACTAGTTATAATTCATTATAAATATTTAGATCCGCTGTAAGCATTCGTTTGACCTCTCAGTGTCAACTGTCTGTTAATTCTAAGAACGTTAATTTCCTGGTTAAGGAAAATAACTTTCTTACTGTACAATACTACTCAGAGCATGTAGCATAAATCTGCATGATTAGGAACTCCAGTTATGAGTAAACAATGAACAATGTCAAGTGTGATACAAGTAAGACTTTAACTACATAAACACTTAAACTAATCTAACATACACACACACACACACACACACGCATACAGTTGGTATAGGAAAAGGGTTAAAGCTTAGGCAGTAAAAAGAAGAGAAATAAAAACATTAAGCTATGGTACCATTTGATATTCAGCAGATCTACAGCCTGAAGGAAACATCAAATGATACTTGATGAAAAAGAACCAGTTTGAGTTAAAGGATCTTGGTGAATGGAAAGTCAAGGCCGAAGCCTGGCGCGAACTTAGGGTGTCCTTCGGAGCGTTCTAGCTCACATCCTCATCTTCTCAGAATCTAACAGAACTGGCTATGTGTTGGAGAAAACCGGGCACGCCCGCACCGGCTCAGGCTCCAACATGCTTCTTAGCAGAAGAAGGACATCAAGACAAAAAAAAAACATGGGCGGAACTGTGCGTGAGCCTTTTAAGGTCTGAGAAGATTCACGCCTCTCAGGTTGGGCTTGTCCAATGAGAAAGACTGAAATTCCAAGCGGGAGGTTGGAAATACTGGGGAGTTTTATGACCCTTTGTGTGAGAGCATGGTAATTTGCATATCATACTTGAATCAAAATTACTAAAGATTCTTAGAACACTAATATATTGCCTATGTACGAACATATAATATACACTCTCGTTTAGATCATCAGAAGACAAATTCATAGATACTAAACATGGTAGGATTACTTATAGGTAAGATGACATAAACGAGTGGTTCTATCATAAGCCAGCATAAAACAGTATACAATATAAAAGACAATATACAAGGAAAGTAACAACATACACAATGAGCTGAAGTATATGCGTGTTCATTCAAAGAAAGGTTTTCTTATGAATTAATTAGAGAACAGTCCATTTCTCTGGGCATTATGTGTCTTTCCTATGAGGAAAATGAGTGAGTTTCTCTGCCCGCATTTCTTTGGGCAATAAAACCAGTGATATCAGCATTGGTTGCCATGGAACCAGAGGCCTGTTCTGCCTTTCTGAGGTGTTAGATGCATTTCGGGGGAAGGGTCCATAGACCCTTGTAACTGGCCCTTTGGTTAGGTGAGGGGGCATTAGATATTATTTGTTAAATATAACAAATAGTTGTGTCTGATTGGTCCAAATGCTACACTGTGTAAATATAAAACCATGTCTGCATTTGTGATCGGAGAAACGACAAACAACAAGCGCTACTCTACACTGCTCTAAACTCGCGTTTGAATCATCAGTGGCAAATCCTTTAAATATAAAAAAAATGTACTTACAGGCTGTGAGTCAGAAGCGCCAGACTGTCGGTGCAAAGTTGGAACTGCCCAAATTTTTAGAAACAAGCACATTGTAGGCTACTCTGCAGGTTCAGGAAACAGTCCTCCATAAAATGCGCTGCACACATCTGAATATTTGGGTTGAACTGTTCTGGAACAGTGTTGTAAATACAACTTAACCACTGATTTCTAGTTGTGTCCTCTTTTGGAAGACCACACAAAGTAGTTTCGCTTTCATAATGAAACACACAGTGTCACACATGGCGGGCTTGAGAACGGTGCGGCCGGTGTTGTGCCGAATTCTGCACCCCTGCCAGATTATGCACCCCCTCGTTGAAGGCGCTTCCTGATTGCCTAATCCCAACCTCACCCCTAATCCTAACCCCTCCTCCACACCTACTCCTAAACCTACCAATACTAGGGGGTGCATAATCTGGCAGGGTGCAAATTTCGGCACTACACCGGCATGCTAGAGTGAGCGTAGGCCGGCGGGCTAGAGTGAGCGGCCGGCGGGCTTGAGAACGGCGCGGCCGGAGGGCTTGCGGCAACCACATGTGACGACCCCGGGCTGGACTCCGCTTCGTCAACGGTGAAAGCCGATCCAGCGATCCACAGCGCGAAGTTGATGTATTTCCTCAGCGACCAGCACAGATCAGCTCTAGGCATGACGAAGCGGATATCATCCTCTTTTGGAAGGCCAAACAAAGTAGTTTTGCTTTCACAACTGAAACACAGCGCCTTCACAACATGGTGGCAGCGGAAGCAACAATACTACAGCAAGAATAAAAGTTACGCCTTCTTTCTTTGCGTGAACTAGGGATGTGC